ATTCTGAGAGACTATACTGGAAAGTTCCATGTGTTCTGAAGATAAATTGCATAGCAAGTACACATTCTTTATGAAAAAAAAAGAATTCTTTTTAAAGTTTGGATATCTTTTTATCAGACTAATGGCAACATAATAAACTTGAAAATAGCACTTAGTCCAAGAATAAATTTGCCTGGGAAGATCGTAAGAAATAATTGGTAGATTTTTTTCCCCTTCAGGTGCTAAAACAAATTAGCTCTCTGTTGATCTGACTTGGATGGATCATTGAGTCTCAAAAATATAGCATAGTGAGTATGTAAACACTCTGCTAGCTTGGGCAGAAACACTGGTATCCCTAAAGAAGTATTTACTTCATTCATCCAATTACGAATGCAGAGGGAATGCTGATTTAGATGTGAGGCCCCCAGTATAAAGCACTGGGCATTAAATGCATGAGCATTTCTTCCGAGCAGTTTAGCTGAAGTTTATCATGACCATTCAGCTATTGCCTAGCAACTTGTGAAGGCCATCAAAGAGCTCTTTGTCCATAGCCCTGGCAAAAACAGTCCCTTGCAGATATCCTTATCAGTATCAAAATCAACATGAAAATTTATAAAAAACAATTCCATTGCATAAGAGGTTAATACTAACTTGAAATTGTGGCAATCATAAGCCAGTACACTGTTGACAGTATTGATGTAAAAGCTGTCTCTAATCTTGCTTTCTAAGGTCTATTAAAAATGTTTCTGTTTCCTCATTAATTTCTATCTTTCTTTAAAAGCATAGCTTTCTTTACTGAAATTTCATATACAGCATCAGAGTCGGGAATATTGTTTTTATTTTTTAATCCTTTTAATATTTCTAAACTTTCTCAAAAATACACATTTTATTTTTACAGCTAAAAGATGTGAAACTAAGTTTTTTATTTGTAAGTGCCTTGTGAACTTATCTAAATAACAGTGAGTGAGTGAGATTTGAAACTATTTTTAGAATTATAGAATTACAGAATGTGTTGGGTTGGAAGGGACCTTTAGAGGTCATCTAGTCCAACCACTCCGCAGTGCACAGGGACATCTTCAACTGGATCAGGTTGCTCAGAGCCCCATCAAGCCTAACCTTGAATGTCTCCATGGACAAGGCCTCTACCACCTCACTGGGCAACCTGTTCCAGTGATATATCACCCTCATAGTGAAGGACTTTTTCCTAATGTCTAATCTAAATCTACCCTGCTCTAGTTTAAAACCGTTGCCCCTTGTCCTACCACTATGTGCCCTTGTAAACAGTCCCTCTCCAGCTTTCTTGTAACCTTTTATGTTCTGGAAGGCTGCAAGAAGGTCTCCCTGCAGCCTTCTCGTCTCCAGGCTTGAACAATTCCAACTCTCCCAGCCTGTCCGCACAGGAGAGGTGCACCAGTCCTCGGATCATTTTTGTGGCTCTCTTCTGGACACACTCCAACAGGTCCATGTCCTTCCTGTACTGAGGGGTCCAAAGCTGGACACAGTACTCCAGGTGAGGCCTCACCAGAGCAAAGTAGAGTAGAGAGGCAGAATCACCTCCCTCGACCTGCTGGCCATGCTTCTTTTGATGCAGCCCAGGATATGATTGGCCTTCTGGGCTGCGAGTGCGCATTGCTGGCTCATGTCCAGCTTTTTGTCCACCAGTACCCCCAAGTCCTTCTCTGCAGGGCTGTTCTCAATCACATCATCCCCCAGTCTGTACTGATAACGAAGATTGCCCCTACCCAGGTAGGGGTGCACAGACCTTGCACTTGGCCTTGTTGAACGTCTTGAGGTTCACACAGGCCCACTTCTCCAGCTTGTCCAAGTCCCTCTGGATGACATCCTGTCTCTTTGGCATGTTTACTGGACCACTCAGCTTGGTGTTATCTGCAGACTTGCTGAGGGTGCCTTCAATCTCACTGTCTATGTCATTGATGAAGATATTAATTATCTTTATCACTATTAAAGATTACACTCCCAGTATGGACCCCTGAAGGACACCACTTGTCACCTATCTCCATCTGGACATTGAGCCATTGACCATTATACTCTGGATGTGACCATCCAGCCAATTCCTTATCCACTGAACAGTCCACCCAACAAATCCAGATCTTTCCAACATAGAAAGATGTTGTGGGGGACTGTGTTAAAGGCCTTACAGAAGTCCAGACAGATGGCATCCCTTGTCCACTGATATAGTCACTCCACTGTAGAAAGCTGCTAGGTTGGTCAGGGAGGACTTAACCTTAGTAAAGCCATGCTGACTATGTTAAAGCACTATCATCTAATCTATGTCTATAAGTACAGAAGCAATAAATCACTAAATGAATTACTATTTCTGCTTTACTACTTTCATTCTTTACACTCACACACAGGAGTGATTTTGCTTATAATCAATAGTGAATATAATAAAATTCCTTTTATAGTGAAACAGAAGTAATACTCGGCACACTTTCAGTATGTTATATTGTCATTATTATAATAATTACTCAGTTAGTACTTAGAATACACTGTTTCTTTGCTAACTAGAGGGATAGCATTCTTCACCTGACTACTTCCTCATAAAGGGTGAAAGTGGGAAAGAAAAGGTGATTTTTTAATTTTCCGTAATGGATAATTTTCCCTGATGTACACTGCAGGAACTTTTTCCTTTTTTTCATTTTTAATGGTAGTTGTTGGCTCTTTTAAGTATTGTGGCTCTATGTAGCATGGAGCCCATTGTCTTTCCTATCTCAGTATGCCCAATATCAGCCTTTGACACCGTGCTGTCATAAAGCATTCTCTGTGCGCAGATCAAGACAATATAATTGAGCCTGGTGTTATTGTATGTCACTGGTCTACATAATCTCAGATAATGCACGATGGTAACTCTTGGCAACCGCTGACTTGTTAATAGTGACCATTGTATACTGAACACCACTGAAAACCACTAAGACTCCGTGAAAAATGTCTTTTCTCTAGCAGCGTTCACTGACTGAAGCTATGTATGGTATGACAGATAACACTCAGATGAACAGAAGGCTCAGTTCTGAAGTCCTCTACATGTGTCTGCTTGTGCTTTCATGGGCTTATAAACCTGAGTTCTCAAATTTGGGAATGTCAAGCAGAATAGTCTTATGCATCTGAAATAAGTGATCTTGTTTCTAAAAAAGACCACTGTGATCTCATCCTGCTCATGTGCATCAGCATCTCTCAAAATCAAACCACTATCTTTTATCTATTTATCCAGAAATAGGGAGTTAATTAAAAAGTTGATCCAGGCTACTGAGAAGCACGTCTATGCTGCCTCTGAAATGTAGGTGAAGATAGGAAAATGACATTGCCTATGCAGGTGAAAATGAAAAAGTAATGATCTTAGAAGCGTTTCATTTTTTGACAATAAATTTGTTTTAGGCCAGTATTAACCAATGATCATTGTACAGTTAGGGCTTTTAGGTGGCCCATGTACTGTCTGCTGCTGGTTAGCACCTGAATTCCAAAAAGCAAGTGTTTTCTCTCTGGCTGGCATTAGTGCAATCTGTTGAACCACATATTTGATTATTCAAACTGTTGTCTTGCAGAGAAACAAACAATTTGAGAGTCTGGAGTTTCACCTTTCCTTTAGTTAGAGAGTTAGTCTTTGGATATAAGCAACTTTACAAGGCACTGCTGTGGGAATTGAGGAATCACCTCCAAGTCTGGCCTATCATTAGACAGTGTAATTATTTTCCAGTATTGTTACGAACAGTAGATTTTGCTTTTCAAAGTTAAAAGGTTTTTTTTTTCTTGTCACGTGTGAAACTGTTTTGCCTTTTTAGGACTCTGGCAGCCAGTGAACCTGTGGCATATTTTGCTGGAAACACTTACAAAGCAAAACATGCTTGTGGTTGGATTCAGTCCACTTTTCCCTTAGTGAAGGGCTTCATTCAGTGGAAGCACTACAATAATACTTAATTGTTAATGCAAAGTACTGTAGACACAATACGGTCTGAGTTCCACAGTGGTGCCTGCCGGCATTTAACATGCAGCATGCTTTTTAAAAGCAGATTGTGGAAAAAAAACAAACAGGAAAGTTACATTTAATGTTGCTGCTGTGCCAGTAAAAAGAAATCTCATGACTGGATGATTATAAATAGTAGTTTGTATTATGATTTATGTATAATGGTTCAGGTTGTAGCCATTTTATACTCAATTTTATGCCAAAAATGATTAGACAAAGCACTGACTGACCAGCATCCTTAACACTGTTGCAGCTAAGCATTTTGGAATGCTCACATGGTGTGTTTGGAAACCCTTTGTGTGTGCTACATTTTTCCATTTGGTATGAGACTTAGCAGTAATCAGCTCACCACTAATTAGAAATCATTCTGTGTCCTGCACCCCATTATTACACAAAATTATGTCAGACCTTAAGAATTTTTACATTCAGAAGAAAAGGTTCCTGCAGTACCTTTTGTTATGCATTTCCCTAACATAAAATTTGAAAATAAGCTTTTTCTGTTTTGAAACAGCTGTTATAGAGGAAGCAAAAGCCATTATTTTGCTGCATTTGAATTACTTTCTGTTTTCGATTCTCTTTATTGATACCAGTTGTTGAAGTGAGAGCAATAAAAGACCTTTTTAAATTTTTATATGTGTAAAGAACTTGGATAATTATGGAACTCTTTATACAATTGAGAGGTTTGTATTCATCTTTGTAGATCTTGAAGTGTTGGCAGGCAGGAAGCCTGGAGGTAGCATTCCACAGAGCTCTTATGTTCCTTGTAAATCTGCAGAAGTGCTTTCCTGTTAGAGAACTCAAGATCAGCCCTGATGTAGCTCTTATCAAAACTGGAATACAAAATAAATTTGCTGTTCTAGGGGAAGGCCGGAGTGGAGATAAAAGTTTATCTTGTTCTGTTTGCCTGATGCTAGTGGTATTTTCATAAACAGGTTTTGTGAGCTGTGTTTTAAAAACAAGTCCTCTGTGTCTAAAGGTTTAAACTAATCAAGCATATAAGTTCTTTACAAAGGCTGATAGTTTTGTTTATTTATGGCTGCAGGCATTCACTGTGACAGTGTGTGTGCTGAGGGACAGTGGGGGCCAAATTGCTCATTGTCTTGTTACTGCAAAAATGGAGCATCCTGTTCTCCAGATGATGGAATCTGTGAGTGTGCACCGGGATACAGAGGCACCACTTGTCAGAGAAGTAAGGACAAAATACATACTTTAAAATCTCTGTTTCTCCCTCCCTTACTAGGAATACATGTGATATAATACCACAATGCTTTGTTAGTTGTAGTATGAAGTACGATGAAATACTCCTTGATTGGACATTTTGTCAGAATGTATGAATATACAGAAATAAGTGTTATCCGAAGTTAACAAATGTTAATAACTAGTAATAATAACTAGTAGTGCTCTTCTTGTTTTGGTACAATTTTACTTTTATTCCATCTGTGCCAAGATGTCATTATGCCCATGACTTTAGTAGGGGATTTGACTCTAAAGGCAAGGATTTCCAAATGTGATTGATGAACAGTAATTTTGTAATACTTATTTTGGTACATAAATAAAACAGGAATGAATTTCAGAAACTAGAAACTTTAGCTTCCCATTGAGTCTGGTAGGAATCATTGGCTTAATTATTGCTTTTTTAACACTTATTTTGAAGCAGCAAAGAAAGGCCAATGGGATCAAGCCTCACCGTAAGTAGAGGCTATCAAAATACCCATAGTTGTATTTGAATAATTTGTCTCTCTAAAATTTAAACATTACAAAAAGAGAGATACAGATGAACTGAGGCAAACCATAACAGAAATGAGGAGGCAAAAATAAGGTGATATGCAAAATATCTACCTTCCCAAGAAGATTAGTCAGAGTTTGCCAGCAGTTCAGTTATCTTCAGTTTGAAGTGCTGAAGCTGTGAGGAAAAGGTGTTCACAGAAGACACATGTGAGTCCTCTGCGCTTGGAGGGTAGCCTTGTTTTCAGACAGTGTCTCCCAAAAATAGGGTCAAGAAGCAGGTTGAGTAAGAATCACAGAATCACAGAAAGTTAGGAGTTGGAAGGGACCTCGAAAGATCATCCAGTCCAATCCCCCTGCCAGAGCAGGATCACCTAGACTGTGTCACACAGGAATGCATCCAGGCAGGTTTTGAATGTCTCCAGAGAAGGAGACTCCACAACTTCTCTGAGCAACCTTTTCCAATGCCCTGAGTAGGGCCAAGCGGAGATGCTACTAGTGCTCCAGAAGAGGCTACAAAGGCAAGAAATGACATGAAATGATTACTAGAAGGTAAAAAGAGGACCAAAGGAGGACAAAGTTTTAAGTCAGTCCAGGAATGGCAAGATTTCAATCTGAAGAATGTGATTGCCTATGGCACTACTAAATCCCACAGTAATGTGGCATTAGTATTCCTTAAGCATTTCTCACTAAGTGCAGTAATTATTATCACTATCTAATCTCTAAAGGCCCTGCAGTTAATCAGTTCATCTAAAGGCAGACTAAGTGTAACACTACATGTAAAAATGTTCGCTGTGTTTTGGAACTGTGCCTATAACCTGCACAAGAAGATTCTAGTCTGGTGGCTCTCAGAACCCCTCTCTGATGCACAGTCTGGATGCTGGGAAGACAAAGGTCATACAATAATTTGGATCCCAGTCAGAAAGTGCCTTTTCAATTAACAGGAAGACCTTTTGGCACTGTTTCACTCGGAAAAGTTAATCTCTCTAGAGAGATGTGGCCACTTAACGTGTATCAAGTGTATAATTAAAAGACTGAATCTTGAATGAAATTAAAATATTGAAAAGATTCCAAGTTTGTTTCTGGCAGTGCTAATTGCTGCTGTGCAACAGATATTTCCCTTGATGGATTACCTTATATTAAAATTTATCAGGAAATAAATGCCAAAAGGTATTAGAGCAACAAAGATTGAGATTTAATGTGACAGCTTTTTTCTTCCCTTTTTCTTAAGAAACTAGTGTCTTTAGCATAAGAATCAAGTGGACAACTCTGCATTTGTGGTCTCAGGTTCTCTAAAAATTAAGTGATGAATAGCTGTCTTAAATGAAAACATGACTGGAAAACATTTGTAAATTTTTCTCAGTGAAGTAATGGCTATTTGTGTTCCAAGTTAGAAAACACATAAGAAGTCAATGTCTAAGATGACCCTACTCTACAGATAAAACTATCCACTCTATTTTTTTAAATAGCTTTTCTTCAAATATGGTTTAAAAGGTGTTGTAGAGGACATGTAATATGTAGCCAAATGTGTATAATATATACACATAACCCAAGCACAGTGTGGCCTGACAAGTAATAGAATGTCAACAAAGTCAGTATTAACTAGAATATAGTAAACCCTTGAGGAGAACAAGCAAATCTCCTTTCATGAGTGTAAAGCATTGAACTGTATGAACAATAAAAACCATCAACTCTTGTGTATTTAGAAAGCAGAGCTAATTCAAAGTCAGGAACAAGCGCAGGAAGCAATGACAGTTTATTCTTTCTAATTCCAGTTTGTTCCCCTGGGTTTTATGGACACCGCTGCAGCCAGACATGCCCCCAGTGTGTACACAGCAGTGGTCCCTGCCACCATATTACTGGATTATGTGACTGCTTACCTGGATTTACAGGAGCCCTCTGTAATGAAGGTACAAGTAGTAATAGAGACACTATGGGATGCAGAGACCAAGCACCGTAATGCAATAATTTTCATTTCATCACTTGGAAACTATAAAACCAAAAATATTTTATGTTGTAGTATGTACAGTTTATAAATTAGGAACCTTAAGCAGGTTTAGGCTGTTGGAACATTCAGTCCTTAAGTATGAAACCCACTGTATTCTTCTTTGTATTATTTCTATTATGAGAATGCATAATGGGCTTACCAGAATTTATAATGCCTTACTTTAACATTATACTAAACGATGTTTCTTGATCCAAATATCAGTTTCTTGCTCTTGAAACAAAGAAAATACAGTCTTGTTCTGATTACTAAAGAGTTCTAATACTGACAACTTGTTCACAGTGTGTCCCAGTGGCAGATTTGGCAAGAATTGCATTGGAATATGCACCTGCACCAATAATGGAACGTGTAATCCTATTGATAGATCCTGTCAGTGCTACCCTGGCTGGATTGGCAGTGACTGCTCTCAGCGTAAGTATCAGCTTTTTTCTCTTTATTTTTAAATCAGTTAGTCAGGGTTTGGCTATTTAAATTCTCTACTTTTTATTAAAAAAACACTAAGTCAGAAATGAGGACTTCATGGTATGAAATGAAGGGATACTAAACTTTTCTGTGTTTCATTGGCTCTCTCAGAAACACATTTGCATTACGTTTTTTCTAATAAGTGGGCTGGAACATAAAACAGGAGGGATCAATTTCCAGTCTTCCACTGCCCAAAGATTTGTAGAGAAGCTGGATCAAACTTGTTTCAGAAGTGCACTGTGAAAAGACAAGAGGCAGTTCTTGCAGGTTGCAGCAAGGGTGACTCTTACTAGATACAAGAAAAAAAATCTTTACTGTGAGTGTCGTCAAGCACAGCAACTGTCTGGAGAGTCAGCCTGAAGGAGGTTGTGAAATTACCATCATTGAAGATCCTTTGAGTGAGATATTTGAGTAGGGGGTGCTAGAGATCTTTTCCAACATGAACAAGTCTGTGACTTAGTAAATCTTGCATTGCAGACCGGGCTCTCTACCTGTTGTTTGATTGTGGTTCTTTAGTCTTATCACAGTACTGCTGTGAACACCCCAGGGCTTGTGTCCTCAGGACAGTTTTATGAATTACAGCGGTATTATTTCACAAATGAGGAGCTGAGGCACTGAAATAAAGTGTGTTTTTTTCTTACTACAGTTGCACAGAGAGCTACTGGCAAGTCTCAGAACAAAGCCAAGATTTTTGCAGATACAAATCAGTGCTCTGGATGCAAGACTATCCTTATGCTTGTCAAACCTTTGAACATTTTGTTAACAAACTTTTCACTATCAGTTTTTAAAGGGCTTATAACTGTTTGATGGATTTTTCTCTTTGTTCCTTTTTAAAATGTTTCACAGTTACACATTTTTAGTGTCATTCTACCTCACTCAATGAGTATTGTCTTGATATTCGAAACTCAGTGAAGGCTTTGTTAGTGACTTAAAAAGGAGAAGGGCTTGGCCCTAATTTTATAATGTTTCACAGGGTTATTTTATTAAACAGTTAGGCATTCTACAGATGCCTTGCTGGGTCTATGAAAATTACTAATGACAGGAAAGAAATACCTAAAGCAAAATTCTCACAAGAAGCATATCTAATTCCATAACATACCAAAATCCACACAGTCTGAAATACACACATGCCAAACCCATTTTAATGAACAAAAAAAGCTGTAAAAGACCCTGATATGTCAAAATTCAAAAGACATTGTGCTGGGGTTTCCAGAGAGGTGCATTTTCTAATAACATGCCTCATTGGTTTATATAATTTAAGGTTTGACAGGTCCAGGTTAGCTGACTCTGTACCAGTGCAATATAACATCTGGTAGATCTGGGAAAAAACCTTTGCTGGCTGAATTCTGTGAAGTAATTAGCATGCACAACTCAATATGATACCAAAATAAATCTTGGGCCTGTTCCTGTGGAAGTCAGTAGCAACAAAGCTCTCTGTTTTTATGGTAAAATAAGTAGGTAGTTGGGAGAGTAGCAGAATAGGGGTATTTAGGAGGAGGAGGGATTTATTCACTGAATCAATAACAAGAAAATGGTGCCAGCAATATGAATTGAAGCTGTGCTCATGGACCGTAACAGAGGAAGTTTATTTGCTTTGTATAAAGGCCTTTCGTTCACGTGGGAAATAATGATTCCATTAATTTCTTTTGGAAATAGCGACCTTTTTGAAACTTCTAACCTTTTGTCTGTATGTGATTTACATTCCTTCTTAGCTGACCACTAAATTCAAACAAAAAGCAGTAATAAAAATCATTATAAGGCACAGCTGAAGTGGAAACAACAAAACATGAACTTAGTACTTTTTTAATCAATACATCGTAGTGTATTTCTTAATGAAGTGAAATTTGGGCAAAGATAACACTTTGCAAATATACAGCCCACACATAAATGAGTCATTATGCAAACATTTAAAGGATTCAGTAGTTTTTATTGCTTTGAGAAAGGTCTCTGACAACCAAATCAGTACACAACAATAAGGCATTAATCAGCCTTTTTAAACTTACACAGGAATAAAGCCAAAGCTTCCATGTCTGACCTGTTTCTTCTGTCCTATGAGAGACTCATGTTGTACTTCCACAAAACTATTTTTAAATTATGCATCTCTTTACTAAAGAAACAGATGAAAACCTCAAAATGTGAATCCTAATCCACAGAAAGGGGCTATTCTTAGAGTACCCTCTGCACTTAATACTACTTCGACATGAAAAAAATTCTTTGCTGTTTCTGAATAGTCATTAGCATTTTGGAACCACTTCACTATTCTAATTGCAGCACATAGTATCAGATTCATTCACTATGACATTTTCAAAGCAGTGAGTAAAATTCTGTATCATTATATTTTGACATGATTTTAAGTGAAAAAATTCCACTTTATAGATTATTACTTGGTTTTTTAGTAATATTATATTGATTAATGGACCCACGGAAACAACTGAGTTAACTTAAGATACAGCCCTCATTCTAGGCATCACATTTAGGCAATTACTTAGGATCTAACAGTGAAATTACAAGAAGTGAGCTTAGTATTGAGTTTAAAGCTATAGGCTATAAGATGTGTTTCAACATCCTTCACTTTTGAAGCTTAAAAGGCTTATCCCCTTGACTATGCTCAGTTGAACTGTCTGCAGATGAAAAAATAATTTAAGAAAGAAAACTTACATGGTGCTCTCTATAAGAAAGCTGGTATGAGTGTCCTAGTTACTGAGTATCACTGGTTTCTTTCACATATTTAATCTTTTTCAGCACTTTTTATTTAAAGTGAAGTGATTTCTTAGTTCAAAAAAAATCTGTGGCCATTTGCTCAGAATGGAGCAGCACAAAAAGTGCACTTGAAAGAAAAATAGAAAACTCCAAAGGAAGCAGTGCTAATATATGAATGTAAGCAGCTCTATTAATTGATATCAAGGATCTTTGACATTTGAGATTAATTAATTGCTCTGGGTTGTTTTAGCTTGCCCACCTTCCCACTGGGGACCAAACTGCATCCACACGTGCAACTGCCATAATGGAGCTTACTGCAGCGCCTATGATGGGGAGTGCAAATGTACACCAGGATGGACTGGCCTTTACTGTACACAAAGTAAGTGACTTTTGTTATACGTTCTTAGTCTACAAATCAGTGGCAGAATTGTACTTAAGTCTTCTCACACTTTATTCATTGATTTCTTCTCGTGCCACTGATCCTTTTTTGATCCAGAAGATGCAACACATTACTCCTAGGACAGCAGGGTTGGTCCCTGTATAAGCAGTGGCAGAGTGCTAGCCACAACATTCAGGCTCCTCTTTAGGCTTCCTTAAGAGGAAGACAACTTTTGTCTGCAGCCAGGCATCCCTGTGGTAGAGTCTGTCCTGTGCACACGCAGAATGAATGACTCTGATGTTCAGATGCTAGCACTGCTGATGTGTGGTTATGGCTGCAGTCTGTAGCATGGATGGTATCAGCTCTGCAGGCATTCCCCACAAGGTGGGATGATAGTACTCTCTAATTCCTTCCCTCTCTGAAACCTCTCCAAGAAGTACTGTAGCAGCAAGGACCCAGCAGACAAGATTGTAATGTGCCACAGAGCCGACTGAAACCATAAGAATAGCTTCTAGCTTAGCTGTGGCTGTGGTCTACTGAGGCACAGTCCCTGTTGTCACTGCAAAGTGATTGTACAGTACATCTTGTGTCTGTAATTGCTACCTCCTAGGGGCAGTTGCAACAACAGCAGTAGCTCAGCACCTGTAATTCAGATACTGATGTAGAAGCTATTTTATTTGGAACTTAGAAAATTAAATTCACTAGATTGCAATGTTATAATTTGTTTTGGAATTTTCTTCATCTTTTTAATACATTAATATTGTTGTTTGGGTTTTTATCCAAGAGCTTTTCATTAAAATAAAAATACAGTACAGTGACCGGGTGTAGGCATGTGGCACTCATATGCTGGGTAGGAGTTCATACAAAGTTTGAGAAATAAACATTTGTTATAGATAGATATTGATAAAGTTGGCTACTTATCTTTATCATATTACAGTTGCAATTTATTTTATCTTCAATCCAGGCACCCCTGCTGTTTGTAATCTGGGCACAACCATTCTCTTTGAACTCAAGAAAAATAAGACTGCTAATTGCATTTTGCATTCAGTGTTTAAATATACGTCTTTGTAAAATCAGAACTCTCCTTTTTCAACTGAATAATGTCATAGTGGCAGGAAATAACAGATATATTATAGGGCCATATGGATGCAGCTTTGGAAGACATTCACCATACTGGTTCAGCTGTCAGCTACCATGGTTATTTTGCTTCCTGCTGGTGAATAATGATCTCTTTGCGGTGATTTGTCTTCTTCATAATAAAACGGTATCTTTGTGAGGAGCTGAGATACAATATGTTATTGTTTTTATTTTTTTATGCTTCAGCATCAACTGTGCAGAAAATATGTCCAGAGGTTCATTTATCTCTGAAGAGGCTCTGGTTCACAAACTGCCTTCTTTCTTCTTCAAATATTTTAAACCTAATTCTTTGAGGAGCCCTTCTTGCTTCCTTCTTCTGAACATCTGCTGTCTGCACAATTTCTCAAGCTAATTTTTATTTAGTTTTTGCCTAATGTGTATTTTAAACCACTTAAAATAGGGAAGGGCTTGATCTATTGTGTTTATAGAATGTCATGTTGAGTAGCAGGGCTACAGAAATGACTTCTCAATAACATACTTAACTATATTTGCATTTTCTTTCTAGTGTGGTTGTTTCACCCCTTTTCCCCTTCCCCTCCTTGTATTGTAGGATGTCCCCTAGGGTTTTACGGGAAAGACTGTGCATTGATATGCCAATGTCAGAATGGAGCTGACTGTGACCACATCAGCGGGCAGTGCACCTGCCGCACAGGGTTCATGGGGAAGCACTGCGAGCAGAGTGAGTAGGGATGGGAATTGCTTGTGCCTGGTAGTATATACTAAACCCTGAGCTGACCCGCTACTGTTGTTTTGGCCAGTGTTGTGGTACAACTGCTTGGCTTCAGTGGGAATTTGGTGGGGAGAGCGCTTCAGGAGTTGGACCTAGGCCTTTTCCAAACAGATAAAAGCCCACAGAATTAGTAAGATTGATTATGAATGTGATTACTGTTTCTTTTAATTTGTAGCTACATGTAAGAGGCATTTGTGCTACATTCTAGTTGCTGTGGACATAATGCTAAAAAAGCCCCAACAACCGTGTCATGTAAAAGTAACAAATTACTCCAAGTAATTGTCATTAACATAAACCACGATGAAAACTATAGTTGAAGACAAGAATGACACCACTGGTATCAGTGGTGGTATAACATTGTACAACGTTAAAAGAATAATCAGGCTCATAAGCATGGAAATGTTAGTCCAACTTTTGCTAGCATTATAGAGTGGTGCTCCCACACTTCATGCATTATACTGCAGCGCAAAGCCATCCATTCAGCCTACAATTATGAAGGTTCAAATCTGTCTTTGGCCTCAATGTCACCCACAGGGCTTTGCTTTTGATGTGTGGAGAACACTGCATGTTACTTATAAGCAGGACTAGTTTAGCTGCATCTGGATCTGAAGGGCTGTGCAGTAGCCAAGCTAGCATGTGTCACACCTGGAAGCACTGTAACAGAAGAGAGGGGAGGTTGCTGTCCCTTTAGAAGCACTTTAACCCCTCAGCAGTGGGTCTAGCCCCAGCTGCTATGGGAGCTATGTTTTTAAAGCTAATTGACATATATGGTAGAACTATTAAAAATTAGGAAGTGATTTTTTTTCCCTAAGAAAAATACAGTTGCAATAAAATCTGAATGGTTTAGAGGAATTTATTTATTTCAATGAAATAATAGCTGGCAACATGTAATTATTAGCTATTTAAACTTTCATATTCTTCTCTGATTACTTCAATGATTCAGTTCAAAGAGAAATAATGTTTAGGAAAAGAGCCTCTCTTGATGTCATGATATAAAAAAATAATTTTTAATACTTTGGCAAATCTAATCTTATTGTGGTATTTTATAGATTTTATATTTTATTCTATAATTTTATAGTAATTATTTAACAATATTAAACTAAATGTTTTGGTATTTCTGAATTTGAACAACAGTTTTAAAAATTTACTTTCCACTCTAATTCAGATTTCAAAATGCCAAAATGTATTATGGTCTGATAGTTTTTGCCCAGCCATTGACTTCAGTAGCTCATTTTTTGTATAATCTTGTTTTATTGAATGTAACCAAGAGAAGCAGAAAGTATATAAGCATGAAATTCCACTTGAGTCGGGATTTATCAAGACTGCAAGAACATTTCTCTGGCACCTATTGTGTTACATTATCTTGTAAATTATTCTATGTTAGACATACATAAAAGATGAGTTAGATTATTTTTAAAAGACAGAAAAACAAATTAATACAGTTACAAAACTGAGAGATTTCAGAAAACTGAGTCTCAGAAGGTAAAGAAATACCACACTTCCTCAAACCTTCAGAACTACAGTAATGTAACAACCCACAGGGTAACAGAGGTGGCAGTATAAAAGAAATCTTTTATCAGTTTAGGATAATTTTCTAACATGCTGATTACATGATGTAGAAGAGACTTTGATCAGTAATTATTTTATTCAAATCATTCTAGGAGAGAAAAAATTATGTAAAACTCTTCCAATTACCTTATTCTTCATAACTTAGCATTTTTATCCTGTAGGTAGTTTCTTAACATTTTCACTAATTTAACTAATTTCACTACCTTAGTGGCAGCAACAGGTCAAGGAAAATCACTTTTGAATACAATTCCCTTCTCCTTTGCCTTCTTTCCTGCGCACATACGCATGCAGACACGTACACATACATAAGTGTCAGAGAGGTCCTAAGAAAATCTTTTCCGTATACGTCTACCAGTAGTAACACATTGCCATCTGCTGGCTACATACAAAAACGTATGGAGTTAGAAACGGTAGGATGTGTGGTGCTCTAGATCTCTATTACCAAAACTTTTAAGAAGCACTATGTCTGGGTTTTATTTGCACGTATTTTTTCAGAATGTCCTCAAGGTACATATGGGTATGGGTGCCGGCAGATATGTGACTGTCTGAACAACTCAACTTGTGACCACATCACAGGAACGTGTTACTGCAGCCCAGGCTGGAAAGGGGCCAGGTGTGATCAAGGTAAAGCCTAGATGCAATAAAATTATTGTAATTGTTTTATATAAAACTTGGATTAACCTATTAAATACCATCTCTCTGTATCAGTGATTAATCTGATGAGGCATGTGTGTTTAAATAGTCCCTTCAATTAAATTATATATGTTCTGTAGCTTTTTTAAGTATTAGATATCTCACTTAAAGTTTATTGGAGCAAAGCACTCCAATAGATGGCAGAAAATGTTTTAGAGTGCTATGCTGTCCAAAGCTGCAGACAGATCATGTGCTTCACCTGCTCTGCGCTTTTGCCTAGAGAATGTTCTTACTTTTTCAGCTCCATGAAAATGTCTTTCTGTGAAGAAGATGAATGCCTTTCCTTAAGGCTCAAATTGTCTTCACATTGGTTTCTGACATACTTCTATTTTGGCATTAATAAATACAGTTAAATTAGCAGAAAGATTTAGCTGCGACATACTGTCTTCTGCTCCTGGCACATAAGCCTTTCAATTTATGCCACATACTTCTATTCTTCTTGCATTTCAGCTGGTGTAATTATAGTGGGAAACTTGAACAGTTTGAGCCATACCAGTACTGCCATCCCTGCTGATTCTTACCAGATTGGGGCTATAGCAGGCATCATCATTCTTGTCCTGGTTGTGCTTTTCCTGCTAGTGCTGTTCATCATTTACAGACATAAGCAGAAAGGAAAAGAAACAAATATGCCCGCAGTGACCTATACCCCTGCCATGAGGGTCATCAATGCAGATTACACCATTTCAGGTATGTGACATTTATAACAGATTTTTTTTCTGTCTCCTGACTTTGTGCTTTTTCAGCTGAGCTCTGAAGGGGTCTAGATCTGCCCTTAACAGGGCTTGAATGTTCATGTTTCACCCTTTTGCATTAGCGAGGGCTGCTGTGAGCACCATTTGAAAAAGGTATCTACAATCCTGCCTTTCATGGTTTCCTGAAAGGAAAGGCAGGGCAGAGTTTCCCTCTTTAAGAAGAGGAATACTGAAACACTGCTCTCAAGCAGCCCAGGACCACACCGACAATGGTTCTGGTGAACTGGCACAGGAGACCAGTGGGAGGCAATGGTAGATTTGTGTGCTTACCTTTCAGCTACCAGAGACAGTTCACTCAAGTTCAGAAGGATGCCGCCCCAGCATCTATAGTTGCTTAGTATGTTCTGCATCATAGTTTTTTAATCTCTGCTTTTGATACTATGAAGGTGGCTTATCCTGGTAAAAAGTTTTAATTGTAAGGAACAAGTGACCATATACCTTGGTTTACAGTGTAACATTTTGCACCCTCAAACATCTTTTTTTCTGCATTAAACAGTGCAAGTATGGACATTTCTATTCCTCTGTGCTTATTTTTAAACAGAATTGGAAAGTGTAGCAAAATATGGTTTCTAGTGAGACTTTAAATTCAATGCCAACATCTTGAATATAGAAAAACTGCTATGGCTGTAGAAAAATCAGGATTTCACACTAGCTGGGGTAAGATTCTATAGAGAGGTAGATAGCAGAGTGGGTCAAGTTTGGAAAAAATGAGGGGAAGAAGCAGTGCTTCTGAAACAAAATATGAGGTTTTGACCTATGAAAGTACATGTGGATTGGAAGGCAATGCGTACATGAAACTTCAGGCAATGCTGTCTTTTGCTCACAGCTATTATTAACAAAGGCAACAGGTAAAGGAGCCACCAGAAACAGTTGTCTGAGTCAATAAAGATGTGTCAGTAAAGGTGGTGGTGCTCCTGAAGCACCAGAAAATGTTGTTTGATGGTAAAAGTGTCTATAATTGGGACAATGCTATGACTACAGAGGCAAATGAGAGCAAGAAACCACAGCAGAAAGAGAAGTTAGTGGGTAATGCTTCTGAATACTTTTTGCGGAAAGTGAGGACATGACCAGTCAGTTACTGCTCTGTATCTTTAATTTCTTTAAATGAATGCAAGGTTTTTAGGTTTTGTTTTTCAAGAAATTCTAAATCACATTCTGAAATCAGTGCAGCACTGTCAAAAACATATTCTGAGAAAGAAATGCCATGTTATTTTTAGTTGTTCATTTTCCTTTCTTTTTCTTTTCAGAAACTATGCCTCACAGCAATGGTGGAAATGCTAACAGTCACTATTTCTCTAATCCTAGTTATCATACTCTAACTCAATGCACTACCTCACCTCATGTCAACAACATGGACAGACTGACACTGGCAAAGGTAAAGCATGAAAATCTGGATGCTTCTGTGTAAATTAGTGTTTGGTTTATTTTACTTTTTTCCCTAGTGTCATATTTGGTCTATTTTTGCTTTCCCTGATGATCTGGAAATTCAGCAACTTCCCATCAGTTTCAGTTTGTTACCTATCTTTCTTTGAAATAGGCAAAAAACAATCAGCTGTTTGTGAACCTTAAAAATGTGGAACCTGGAAAACGAGGGACTGTCATGGACTACACAGGAACACTGCCTGCAGACTGGAAACATGGTGGCTACCTCAATGAGCTTGGTAAGGTTAAAAAAAAAAAAAGGAGGGGAATGTGAATGTTATTCATTGTGTTTGGGATGGATTGGAAAGCAAGGATGTTTACCTGGTTCTCCACTCAGGGTAATGACAAGCTTGTCAGACTGCATGTGAGGTTCAGTTATGCATTTGACCTTCCTCTAAGGCAGTAGCCTTAGAGATAAAAAAGTTACTCCTTGTGAGGAACAGTGAAACAGTCTGATGCCCAGGGCAGCCATGATACACAAAATATCTCATACTCTTTTTATTAAAAGATTTGCTTATTAATTTGTTTCATAAAACAAGGGGTGTTGTACAGTAAGGGTCTGCTTTGTCAAAATACATAATTCTTATTAAATAAATAAGAGGTTGCATATGTCCTTTTATTTTAATCCTCACCAAATGGAATCAATGCTTTAATCATTACTTTCTCATCATCTGAGCTGCTTCAGATGTTCAGATGCTTCTAGCATAATCTTCTCATCTAAATCTCTTGCGTGCTGTAAGATAGAGCATTGTCCTTAGGAAGAGACATTCCCAAGAAGTGAGAGTTCCTGTATCCTGCTTTATGCTATCTTTTGCTGTCTTTTCATCTTTTCCCAATATCATGCATTACAAAAAAGTTGGATTTCACTGAGCATATCTCTGACCAGTGAAAGTCTTGAAAGAGACTTTCAGTGCCAGTATAATTTAGATCATTTAATTACCTTCCTTTCTGGTCCTTATCAGTATCATATTCTGAGAATCAGAACAACAGTATCCAGCATTATTTTTTTTTCCTGCTCATCCCAAATCTTGGTCTAACCACAATTCAGACCCAGATGTTTTTGTTTTTTATGGAAGTGTTTCCGTAATAATGCTCAATGTTCAAATTTTTATTTTGTTAGAGCATTTGTACTAGCACTTAAGACTCCTAAGAAATACTGGCTGTGGTTTAGCTACTGCAGTAGATATTGAGTAACAGAGAAATTCTAGAGAACTGGATGAATGCTGATATTATGTCTGTGTTCCAGAAGATCAAATGAGATTACTTCGGTAACTCTAGGCTGATGCCCAGCGGGCATCGTGGTAAAAACAACAGGACAGCTGATGTGAGATCTAGTAAATAAAGATGGGGTAGAACTAAAATTAATTGACTTATGTCTCCTCCACTAACATAATTTTGTTCTTGGAAACTATGAATTTTCTTTATGGAGACACTGTATTGATAAGATTATTTTAGGCTAGTGAAAGTTTGGACCTTATAGATAGCAATTACTGTTACACTAGCTATTTCATTGAAAGTTTTGTCTTCATT